CAGCCCCCTGTTTGGTTTTTTAAGACAGAGTTGCAATATACAGTTCAGCCTGGCCTTGAACTCACTAAAAAATGGATTTTCTAATACATAAACAATTCAGTGAGAAGAGTGGTTTTATTTACTTTTTCAAGGTCTCCCTACTGGACAGCTGTCAAGGAAACACCTAGCCCTCCAGGGTGCTTCTGCGCCCACGGAACAGGGGTGGCAGAATGGAGGGAAAACTCAGAAAACCTATCACTATGAAAACATGGCCTGAGCTGGGCAGGGCAGTGAGCCTGTGGTCCCAGTGCTCCGGGAGGCTGAGGCAGGAGGACTCAAAGTTTGACTTGTCACCCCAGACAACTTAATTACTTAGGGAGTCTTTGTCTCAAAATAAAAACATATGAAAAAGGTCTGGGAATGACTTCATAGCAAAGGCCATGGGTTCAAAACTACCACCACCACCACCACCACCACCGAAGTAAATAAATAAACAAAAGATCAAAAGGCCTACTGCCCCAAGCTGCAGAGAGCTCCCAGATGAAATCATTTAGTCTTCACAGGATGCTGAGCAGTAAGTGCCAGAATGAAATGTTCCCCTTTACAGGGGAGAATAGGAAAGTCCTGGAAGGTGATTTTCCTAGTCAGAGTCACACAGCAGAGGTAGGGTTGAGCCCCAGCAGCCAGGCTCCTGCACGTGGAGCATGGGTCAGTGTCACAGCTTGGGCGCCCCTCTCAGGCTCCTCAGGAACCCCTGCCAGCCTCCATGGCCTACACCCCTTGCCCATTTCTGTCCCCACGTTGGGGTCCTGCCAGTGAGTGCGAGGCAGCAGGAAGCCCGGGGCCCTGTGCCAGGCGCTGCACCCCTTTGCCCGCTTGGGAGCCACTGGACAGCCCGAGGGCAGGTTCCAGTTCCTCAGCGGGTCGTGGCGGGGAGCGCCCACGGCCCTTGGCCTGGAGCCCCTGAGTGACTCCTGCGAGTGGAAGCTGCCCTCGCCAACCCCCGCCTGGTAGGCAACAGCGGCTGGCCTGAGAGGTCCGGCCTCAGGGGGAGGCGTTGGGCCAGGGATAAGCTCAGCAGCTAAGTGCCTGCCTGCTAAGCGCAAGGTCCTGACTTTGATCCCTGGTGCTGAAAGGGGAAAAAAATCACAGTCATGGGGAGGCGGTGCTGACCCCGAGTCCTCTTCTGCAACGCAGGGGTACCCCAGATCTGGATCTGCGACCCTGCAGGAGGCACCTCGCGGGGCTTGGGTGCAGGGTGCCCTACTCTCTGGTCCAGGCTGGCTGGCAGGTGGGGTACCCGGGGGAGCCAGGGTTCCAGATTCCTTCTCAGTGCTCCCATGGTGTCGCAGGGACACCAGATCAGCCAGACGCTGCATGGAGGCCACGACCCCGGAACAGCTCGGGCGGGGCGGAGTCTCGGTGGGCGGGGCTCCTCCAGGCCACGCCCCGGCGCTGTCCGCGGTCTGCCGGGCTGCGCTGGACACCAAGAGCCGCTCGCTGCCCGGGGTCTATGGCGCGGCTCCCCTGCGCCTCCCGGCCGGCCCAGAACCTGCACCGCGACCAGGTAGCCGGGGCGGGGTCCTTCGGAAGGGGACGCATGAGGCTTGACAGGAAGCGCAGGGGGACCCCTGGGTGCTGGGGGAGAGGGGCGCCGCAGATCTGCTACTGGGGGCTAAAGTGTGGGGAAGCCTGAACTCCCAAGCTGGCAAAGGGGCGCCACGGGGCATCTATCTGGAAGCCTGGCCGGGAGACTGGGGGTGGCCTGGGTCCTGAGGTTAGGGGGCAGGAAGAAGGGAGCCCAACTGTCCAACCCCTGGTTCTAGGGGACCCCGAGCTCAGGAGCAGGACTCCCTCCTCCAGGTGTGGGGTGCATCCTGGGGGCGCCCCGGGCCGAGGCGTCGGTGGAAGTTGGTTGCGGAGATTTGGGGGTCCGGACACGTGGCGTCACCCGGACGGACTGGGGGTGGGGGTTTCCCGGAGCAGGGCGCGAGGCGGGGCACTGCGCTCCGCTTTCTCCTATCTCTTGTCCCGCGGGGGAAAGGGGTGTCCCGTAGGTCTGGGGATCGGAGGCCGGAGTGGACTAAGGGGTGCGGGGCTGGACCGCTGGGCCTCGAGGCACCCGCCCGCCGCCCGCCGGCTTGCGATGCCTGGCACGCAGCGCGGTGCGATCCGTATGCGCGCCGCGTGCGCCCATTGGTATGCGGGAGCCGGCCCGGCGCGGGCGTGCGGCGGGCGCTGGCGGGCGAGCGGGCGGGGGCGGCGGCGGCCACGTCCTCGCCGGAGCCAGGGGTGCCTCGGCGCCCAGCCCCAAGAGGGGAGACTGAGGCAGGGCCAGCCCTGCTCCTCGCTGGACCCCCAGGGGCCTCAGTTTCCCTAGAAGGTCTCCCGGGAGCACTGGGCGCCGACCCGGGAACCTCTCCGCTGCAGGAGTCGCGGGTCCCCGAGCCCGCCTGACCGGGTCTCGGAGATGGCGACCCCGTTTCCTGGCGGCGAGGTCAAGTGCGGGGCCGGCCGCGGCTCCGGCGTCCCGTGGGACTTTCTGCCCGGGTTGATGGTCAAGGCCCCGCCCGGACCCTGGTGAGCACGGTCCCGCCCCCGAAGCAGGGACCCCGCGGTTCGGTCCGGGTCGCTGGGGAGGAAAAGCTCCCTCAATTCCTGCCCCGCTCCTGGGCTGGAATTTCCCACCCTGACCTGTCCGTATGCCCCTCGCGCGGGTTTCAGCCAGCCATTCCTCCAGCCGGGCGTGGTGGCGCACGCCTGTCATCCTAGCTCTCGGGAGGCTGAGGCAGGCGGATCTCCGGCGAGCTCGAGGCCAAGCCAGGCCGGGCCGCGTAGCGAGACCCTGGCTCAACAACAAAGAGCCCCCCTCCCCCGACACACACGCACTCCTAACCCGAGGAAGACAAACCCACGCCCCAGGCCTAGCCCCACGGCCTGCGGGGTTAGAATCGCCTTCAGCTCTGCTCCCTTCTCCGGGGGGTCACGTTGTCCCCCGCGTCGCTGGGCTCCCGAGTTCTGCCGGCCCGCGACGCCTCCTCCGCGCCACCCGCCCAGCCTGCAGGCGCAGCGCAAGGAGAAGTCTCGCAACGCGGCGCGCTCGCGGCGCGGGAAGGAAAACCTGGAGTTCTTCGAGCTGTCCAAGCTGCTCCCGCTGCCCGGCGCCATCTCCAGCCAGCTGGATAAGGCGTCCATCGTGCGCCTCAGCGTCACCTACCTCCGTCTGCGCCGCTTCGCCGCGCTTGGGGCGCCACCCTGGGGGCTGCAGGTCCTGGGACCCCCGGCCGGGCTCGGTGAGTGTGTGTGCGTGGCGCCCAGTCCGCCTGCCGTGGGAGCTATGTGTTGCTACTGTGGCGGCTGCTTTCCAATCCTCAATTTACTCATCTGTGAAATGGGCACGAGAGATTGGGTAGTTCTGTGAATTTGGGCCTAAGGGGGGGTACAACAACAAAAGGCAGTGGCTCACAGGGAAATGCTATTATTTTATTGGGGAAAGTGAGCCATTATTATCACAAAAGAAAAAGCTGTATGGACAACCCAGATGGGCAGGGTTTGGATTTTGGTTTAAGTTTTGATTCTTGGAGACTGGGGCTGTCTGTGTAGTCCAGGCTGGCCTTGAACTCACACCGACAGGTGTGCTGGTGCCTACCTGTTAAGCCCTATCCCAGTTCTCGGGAGGCAGAGGCAGGTTTGCTGCAAGTTCAAGGCCAACCTGGGCTACACAGTGAGTTTAAGGCCAGCGCAACTGAACCACAAGGCCCTGTCTCAAAAAAAAAAAAAAAACAAAAAACAAAAAAAAAAAAACAAAAAACAAGAAAACCTCACAGCGATCCTCCTACCTTGGCCTCCCGGATACTGGGAAGACAGGCATGCACCAGCACACCGGGCCCACTCTCTAAGGGGAAGCGCACACCGCACCCAGCACTTCGAGGCCTCAGGGAGTTGAAAAGATGCTGGTGTGTGGCTTTCCTGTTTGGGAGTTTCAGAGAGGGAACGGTGGAGCGTTTGGGGCTTTGGGAAGGCTGCCCGCACCTGTGGCCTCAGCCACGCGCCCTCTTAGTGACCTCCCCCTCAGGGGCTGAGCACAGGCCATGCTGGGCAACCTTGGCCGAGCTCAGTCAAGTCACCCCGTGTCGGGTCACCTCGCAGGGCTCGCGGTCGCTCAGGATCGGGCAGAAGATAAACCCAAGTCCTTGCACTGGAGAGGTGGCCCCACTAGTGGCCAAGACAGTGAGGCGACAAAACAATGGCACCTATACTGTGTAGAAATACTGGCGATGACAGGGCTGCGGGCCCTCTGGTCTGGATCCCCGATACCTGCAAGTGCGAGTCACCATTATTGCTTCTACTTTGTGTCTGCCAGTGAAAGGCATCTATTGGAGTCACAGGTGACAGGAACAGGGCACACAGCACCATGGCTGTCCCCAGCGCAGGGAAAGGGTTTCCTCAGGGTGGGGTTGGAGGGGCTCCAATCCCCCTCCTGCCCTGTTGGGTGGGGGGAGAAAATAGCATTGATTAAGCCCGCAATAAATCACCATTTAAATTTAAATAATCCGGCCTCGCAGGCGGTAATTAGGCGAATTGACTGGTGCGGAGAGAATGCCGCATTAGTGCCGCTGATTACTGCCATTACCCGAACAACACGTGCGCGGCGGGGGATAAACATCTTGTCTATTGTCCCCGAGCTGAGGAGGGGCCCTGTGGAAGCCCTGGGACGTCCTGCACACCCCCCACCTGCTGGTGACACCAGCCACCTTCAGCCCGGCCTGCGTGTCTGCCAGGACGCGCAGGACGCCCATTTGCATGAGCCCGAGAACCCTCAAATTGGGAAATCAAGGGAGGGGGCGCCTCTCACCCCACGGAGTCCCCTAAAAGACACCGAGTGTCTGCTCCCCAGTGTCCTCCTCAACCAGAAGAGTCACTGCATAGACCAGGCATGTTGGTACACGCCTGGAATCCCAGCCGTCGGGGAGGCTGAGGTGGAACTTAGCAAGACCCTGCCTCAAAATATAAAATTAAAAGGGTTTGGGAATATGGCTCAGTGTGAAGGCCATGCGTTCAACCTCTAGTACTGAAAAATTAAAATAAGAGGTGTAATGTGTGTTCCAAATACTCAGAAGCAGTGCCCAGTTCTTTAGACAGAGCCCCACTGCCTATGGCAGAAACCCCCAGAGGGAAAGACTGCTCGGGTGCCCATCACAGGCTTGGGGAGCTGAGGCCCAGCCAGGGAAGCTTTCTGCCTCGGGCCAGGAGGCGCCCCGGCAGAGGTCTCTGGCCCCCTGGGCCTCCCTACCCACCACCCACTCACCCCCACTCCCACCTCCAGGCAAGTCAGTAGCTGCTCAGGCCCCACCGCGGGCCCCCAACTTGGTGAGGTGGGGGACCCCACCTCCAGGCCAGTTCTGCACCCTCTCCGCCGCCTTCCCAGCGTGCGCACCAGCAGTCGGGGTCGCTGCCCTGCCCCCAGCTCAGCAGCCCTAAGCGCCGCAGGCTCCCCCCACCTCCGCCCCAGCCCTGTCCCGACACGCTGTCCCCAGGAGGGCGCCAGGGCTGCTTTGCTCGGCAGGCTTTTCCCCGAAGGCCGGCCCAGCGCCTGTCCCACTCGCTTCCCGGAGCAGTCACTGTCCTCCGCCAGCCAGACACTGAGCGTGCTGCTGGGCCCGGCCCGTGTGAAGGCCCTGAGGCCACCGGCCGCCTGGAGACCTGGGGTCCTCAGAGGTCGGCGGGGTCACACGCAGGGGCTCTTGGCACGGCGAGAACACCGACCCCGGGCGGGGCCTAGCAGGAGCTGGCGGCGGGCACGAGTGGCGAAGGCCGAAGCAGGACTCGGCGATTAGGCGCCTACTGTGTTCTGGGGAGGCTTCTTGCGGTGTCACTGCGCGCGGCGCTGGGGACAGCTGAGGCCGCCGCAGGGGACACCCTGCCCCACCTCCCCTGCTGTGCGCCTGCCACCTGGACGGGGCCTCCGGAGCCACCGGGGTTAGGGCTCGCAGAGGCGCCTCTGGGCGGCGTGGATTTGAGGGACGGAGAGGGGGCTCTCGGGGAGAGGAGCTGGCAAAGCCGGGGTGAGAAGGCGCGGCCGCCCGCGGTCTCAGGTACTGCGGGGCCCTGGCCCGGGGACGGCGCCGCGAGTGGGGTCGCGCAGCCCCAGCGCCCAGCCCGCAGAGCCCAGCGATGCTGTTAATTGCGGCAGCACAGTCTGACCCGGGCTGCTCCGGGGAGAGGAAAATGAAAGAATTAGCAGAAATGACAGGGGAAAATTGCGACAATTAGCAGGCGGCATTGTTCCCGCCTGTCACCGGGCTGGCTGGAGCGGCATCTCGGGGGAGGGGTCCCCCTCAGCCCCCTCAGTTATTGTTCCTGCAGCTCCCGCGCAGAGAGGAGAGGCCAGGCCCGCCGAGAGCACGTGGGGGGCTGCCCCTGGGGGGTGCGGCATGGCCTGGCGCTTTGAGAGTCTGCTGGGACAACGGCAGCCGCTTTTTTTTTTTTTCTTCTTTTTCAGACACGGTCTCGCTATGTAGCTCAGGCTGGCCTTGAGCTCACTTTGTAGCCCAACCTGGTCTCAAACTCAACACAGATCAGCCTCAGATCCCCCAACCCCCAGTGCTTGGATTACAGGTGTGCACTACCACACCTGTCTCGCAGCCATGCTCTTAACCTGGTCCCCGGCTTTGCAGCGGGGCCCTTCTGTCTGCCGAGCTGACTGGGGTCCCCCTCCTTGCAAACCCACTTCACAGAGGGACAAACTAAGGCCCAGAGAGACAGGCTGGGCAGGGCAGCGCTGGAGCTTTGACCTCAGCCTGCACCCTTGACCCTGCAGGAAGCAGGTGCTTGAGGACCCTGAAGTCTGAGTCCTTCTTCAGCCTCCCCCAGAGCACCTGACCTCCCAGAGGTGTCAGCGGGGATCCCACCTGTGGTCAGGCTGGGAGACCCCCTCGTCTCTGCCCACCTCCTGACGAGCACAGTGCCTGTGCCACATGCTTCAGTGTCCTTTGCCATCTCTGTCTCCACCTCCCTTCCCTTATGTCTGCCTCTCAGTCTGATTCTGTTTCTGTGTGTCTCTATCCCTATCTTTTAAAAAAACATCACTGGTTGGGGAGATAGCTCAGCAGTCTCTGGGCCTTTCAAGCGAGCCACTGAACTGGGTGAAATGGCACACACCTGTAATCAATCCCAGCACTGGGGAGGCTGAAACAGGAGGGTCAGAGGGGGCCAGGGAGATGGCTCAGTGGAATAGGTGCTTGCCTGGAAAGC